CCCCAAAACCCCAAAACCCCAAAACCCCAAAACCCCGAGATAGGATATTCACATTGAAAATAAGTTGTTTATAAGTACAGAGGACCCCTATTATTTGCTCTTTGATTCCTCAAGCTTTATTATTTTCATCAGTCTTTCAAATTCTATTTCATTTCTATGCACTTTGAGATACTCACGGCTGGAAGAGGAGGAACTAGAGGTTAGAGACAACACTTGCAGCTTGGTTTTACTGTACCCTCAGAAATATTTGATTAAATCAATAGCTAAACTGGGAACAAAGGTGTCAAAACGAATTGCATTGAATTCAGTAAGAGATATCTTTTCATTCAGTTCTTTTTCTTCTCAATAACTGAATAGAAGCTCTTTCTTATTTAGAGTCTTACGGTTGCTTTTTACTACGCTATTTTAAACTCAATTTAAGTGAGTCGTCCTTCTGTTCAGACTTATTTCTAACACTTTTGTTTATAGATCTAGGATATAAAGCATAATCTTCTCTTTCACTCGGCTTTTTCTCTAAAATATTACACAACCAAATTACCGCTTGGAGATAACTTCTTAGTGCAGAAATGGAAGAAATTTGAAGAAGGCTTGTCTTTATCATTCAAATTCCACCCGGAAAGGCTGCTTCTGTAAGTAGCATTCATAACTTGGATCTTCTTGATCATTTCCTTGTGGTAATACTTTGTCTCATCAAAAGTTCCCTTTTTGATCTTACTTTTGACAATGTAGCGAATTATTTTTAAAAAGTCCTCCATCAATACAGAGATAAAGATCTCTGTGGGAAGCTCTCCCATTGTCTGGTAGAGATCGATCTCGCTGATGTACCCATCGTTGTTGTAATCGAGAGCTTCGAAGCAAATTTTGTACAACATTTCGTTGCTTTGGAAAATCAAGACCTCCATCGTATTGACAAAGTCATTGTAGGACCACGCCTTGGTGAAATCAAAGAAGTTTATGAGCCTTTCAGCAATGTAAGTTGTGTATCGTTTTGCTATGAAGTTCTTGAATTCTGATTTCTTGATCCTAATGTTCTTCACTAGAGTGTAAGATATCTTCACTTCGGGGTCTAAAGCTGGAAGTGTCATTGAGGCCTCCTTTGATCATGCACGGATCTATTATTAGGGTAAAACTTACTGAATAGAATATTCTAAGAAGCTCTTCGGAGTCTTTATCTAGCTGTTTCTTGTATCCCTTTGGAAGATTAGTCATGGGAGAAATCATTTTGAGATTAGCTAGTTTCACACTGATAGCACTATGAATATTCATACTCAAATTATTTACTCTCCATTGGTCGAAGATCCTTCTTTGGAGTCCCCAAATTTAGAGACATTTGTTGAGTCCACAATATTTTTAATGACTGGATTTTTATTTTTGGGCTAGATTTGGCAAAAATAAAGGTGCATCACTATGATTTAACAACAAACGCAAACCTCTTGTCAAGTTGAAAGCTCGAATTCCGGTGTTTCCTATCTGGCATCATCTTTGGGAGAGATCTATAATTAAAACAGTTAGATATTGCATTTAGACAAATCAAACTATTTCATCAACAAATTGTTCTAAATATTAGCTTTATGTTCCCGGCAAAACCTTGTTGGCCTAATTACTCTTAGTGTGTTGTTAAATAATATCTTTATTTTAATCCAATCTATCTTATAATCAAGTTTTCCAGTCAGGAGTCATAATTTTATAGATGATATAACCTCAAAAAATCTGACTTTGCCTTCACATAAATTTAACTAATCTGGATAATTTTATATATAAGATTAGATGAAGTTTGCATAAAATCTAATTACACTGACAAAAAATAGAATCTAGCATATTCGTTTAAATCACCCAGATTTTGAGAATTCTTAATAGGAAAGACCAGAATCGGAATATAGAAGCAATGAAATGAGTGGCTTCCAATATGATCTCCATTCGCACTGGGGACACAGAGTTACGGCCTTTTGGTCGCAAAATTGTTTTACCAATATTTGTCATGTATAGCTTGTGCTCGTTTATACCTATTTCCACTTCCAGGTGACTCATTTCCAATACCAACGTGCATTGAACTATGAATTTTTCCAGGAAATTTGTAATGGTGAAGTCCATCTTTTATCTGAGCTGTCTCTTGCCCTTTAGATGGACTTAAAGAGGCTTTATGAGTGATCATGACCTAATGAAGAAGGTGATTATCATAAATTACAGACTTGTTATGACTTCGGCCCAATGAAAGTTTCGGGTTCAACTCAGGGGCATCAATCTTTTTCAAACTCTCTTTCTTCCCTCTTATAATTTTCCTTTGCAATTCGTTATTTTAAATAAGCCATCTTTTCTTTATTGAGTTTCTTCTTTGGAACTAAAGTAAAAATAATTTGCATAATTCTGATGGAATATGGGAGAGTCCCAAATATGCAGAGAAACAAGTTATGTAAACCCTTACTTCTTTCAGCATTATACAAGTCATAAAATCCTGATTTTTTTGTCCTAAAATTAATGGATTTGCTATAAAATTGAGGTAAAATATAGCTACTTCGGTTTGACCATAATCTGGACACCCTGGACATTCTTCCTCGCCTTTCTTATTATCACGCTTGGACTATTGTGATTCATTTTTATTTATAATTTATTTACAATAAAGGATAACAGACTTGGGGTTTTGGGGTTTTGGGGTTTTGGGGTTTTGGGG